TACTTTACTTTACTTTACTTTACTTTACTTTATTTATTTGTATGCCGCCCTTTTCCCTGAGGGGACTCAGGGCGGCTCACAATCCAGGGGGAGGGGAAGACAAACAAGTTACAACATGAAGACAGTACATTGTTAAAAAAAAATAAAAATCATAGAGCCCTTCCTTTCCCTTCCGCCTTCAGAGGCCTCTCAAGTCTCTTAATCAAACGTCCCTCAAAGCTCCTCTGAGAAAATGTCCAATTCCAAATCAAATACAGTCCGATCTTCAGGAGAAAAGCAAGGGAAATAATTTTAAAATCCATTCTCTGCGATGGTCCGGATTCCGCTGTTCCCCCCCCCCCAACGTGTTCATAATTGATTAAATGTTGAAGATTATTGCAGTCATAAATTAAAAGAGGAAGAAGGTTGGTTAATAAATAGGAAATATAAATGAATATGTTTATAATTACTTGCAAAAGTAAAGTGAGCACTACAATTCAATTATAGTTTTTAAAGGTCATCCTGGAGGACATGGCTAATTTAAGTATAAATTTAAAACATTTAAGTTAGCAGGCAGATATTTCCAGATCGAAACAGATATTTAATAAAGTTAGCATTGAGGCACAATGTTCTAGCACTTGTTTTGCCAGAGATTCAAATCCCCCAAGTTGGGTTCCATGGTCCTTTCCAATTCTGGTATTCTGCTAAGTGACAAACTCTTCCATAGCTACTGAGCTTTAGTGTTCTTCTTCTTCCTGATTCTGGTGATTTTTTTTTTCATAGATTCAAGCAATGACTAGGATGTATCAGGCCCGAAAACGGTACAGAGATCGGTTACAATTCTTTCGGGATCATGTAAGAGTCATTTTGCCTACACAAATGCATTGATACATTAGAAATATTAGTGAACTAGGATGAAAACTGTCTGCCCTCTGCTTTCTACCTAGATCAATGACATTGTGAAAATTCAGGCCTTTATTCGTGCTAATAAAGCTCGTGATGACTACAAAACTCTAAGTAAGTACTACAGAAGGCGTGCCCTTAGAATTATATCCTGGACCCCACCTTAAAATTGTTTCTGTAATTGGAAATGTGACATTCCCTGGTGTTGTACATAGAGGCTAGTGCTGGTGATCTGGAGCAAAATCACAGGAAAAGAGGAATCAAGATCCTCACAAATAATGGATGAGTATAGAAGAAAAATGTGTACAGTAGAGATGCAGGGATATATAGCAAAGGAAGCCTCAAAGCGGGCAGAAGATGGGTGTTGGTAAAGCTGGGGAGTCTCAGAATGCTAGAGTTGGGGGGGAGGGTCATAGAGTCATTCTATGTGCTACTCACTGCTTAGCATGAAGGACAGCCTATCCTCTCTCAACCACAGAATACAAAGATTGTTCCAAAGGTTAGTAAGATGTTCCTGCCTTTCTTCCCTTCCATTATTTTTATCAGCATAGGGAGTGAATAGTGTGAGCAGGAGAGGGAGGAGGATGGAGTTCTGTGTTGGAAGGTGGTCCATGACCTGCTATGGGATGCTGCTGGATCTGCAGAAACAACATATATAAAGGTTTGCATTTTCCACCAACAACATATCAGATGGACCATTTTTCACTCTTTTCATTCTACAGTAAGTGCTGAAGAACCCCCCATGGCTGTCGTCCGAAAATTTGTTCACTTGCTGGATCAAAGTGATCAAGATTTTCAAGAGGAACTAGACTGGATGAAGTTGCGTGAGGAGGTTGTGACGCTGATTCGCTCCAATCAGCAGCTGGAGAATGACCTCAACCTCATGGATATCAAAATCGGATTGCTGGTGAAAAATAAAATCACATTGCAGGTACTCTACATCAGTGGTGGGATATGAGCAGTATGTCCCAGTACGGGCGTACCGGTGCCTGCTGGGAGCACCAGGTACCGTTCCAGTACAGTGCTCCGGAGGGCCCAGCTACCCGCCCGCTCTCCTTACCACTATTTGATCTGATCGGGGCATTTGCACATGTGCACAGAGCGTATGGCGCCTGTGCAACGCTCCGCCGAGCAGCTGGAGCATCGCGGGCGGTGAGTAAGCATGCACATGCTGCGCACGTGCACGTGGTGGGTGCCTGGCCCCGTTGCAGCGTACCGGTTGCAACGGGATCTGGAACCGACCACTGCTCTACACATACTCTCAGAAAGTGATCAGAAGAACCTGTAAGATTGCCATTTTTTTTACACAAGTATAACTAAGACGGACTTTATTTGTTGACAGTTTGTACATTTTAGAAAAAGTGTCTTGAAGTGCTGAAGGATAGAATTATCTCTGCTGCTTCCTTAGATCCATATTCCCAGTTTCTGGGTGTCCTAAACGTTGGAGGAATTTTGCATACTGAACTTTCCACAATTAAGCAATGTCCAATCTCAAAGAGCAGTCAGGTATTGAATTGTTCCATCCTCTGGTCTTTTACAGGAAGTTGTGTCTCACAGTAAGAAGCTCACTAAAAAGAACAAAGAACAATTATCTGACATGATGATGCTGAACAAGCAAAGGGGGGGCTTGAAGGCTCTGAGCAAGGAGAAGAGAGAAAAGTTGGAAGCCTATCAGCATCTCTTCTATTTGCTACAGGTAAGACAAAGGAGTCCCTTGGAGTTCATTGAGCTGCTTCATTTTCCAATACATCTCACCCATGTCTTCTTTCTGTTTTCCTGCAGACAAACCCAACATACCTGGCAAAACTGATTTTCCAAATGCCACAGAACAAATCTACGAAGTTCATGGACTCTGTGATTTTCACACTCTACAACTATGCATCCAATCAAAGAGAAGAATACCTACTGCTGCGCCTCTTTAAGACTGCACTCCAGGAGGAGATCAAGTAGGTGGATTTGAGGTCTATTTTTACTCTGGCATGAAGTACTCAATGATAGTCAGATGTGGAAAGAGCTGCTGTATTTCCCTGTCTAGGCCACTGGGCTGGAACTGCCCTCTGATTCAATTTGAGGCCATCATTCCTGTAGGTTAAATTGTTGGTCCGGAAGGCAGAGATCCTTTGCTAACAAGGACTAACTTTTCTCTGCTTCTTGTCTTGGTCCCCAATTTAGAGATTGCCTTTGCTCTTCCACATCTCTTAAGGATGACTTTTCTTAAAGTGTTATGATCCTCTTACAACAATTTTTTAGAACAGTGTGAGTGTGAGAGAAAGCATTGCTCCATAGCTATCTTAAGGCATTAAGCTCTTGTATAACTGCAGTGCATAAGAAGCTCTGGCCTTAAAGGTTTTAGATCACTGTATAGTTCCAGCTTGATGGCAGGTGATTGAAATGGCTAAGTTCTGATTATGGAATTTCCACAATTTGAATAATTAAATTTATGTGAGAGATATCTCTGAGCATAGATTCTTTACTAGTGTAAAGAAGTTGAGCAGACCTCAAAAGAGCAAGATTCAGCCCAGAAAATTATATTCATATAGGACCCCGAAGCACCTTGTTCTCTAAGGGGGCTTCTCTCTGGTGTGAAAGGTAGAGACTTCTATTGAGTCAGGCTACATGGACAACATCTCCCCTTTTTTTTTCATGGAAACAGTATGAAAGTGATACAGGTAATCCTTGAGGTACCTCAGGCCATTTAATGACTGCTCAAATTTACAACACTTCCCCAAAAGCTACATGGGAACCGTTTCAAAGTTACAACACCTGCAGTGTCCCTGTGGTCATTTGCTTTTAAAACCAGCTGCTGAGATGCTGCAGGAAATCCATTCGCCTATTTCCCCCCCCCCCCCCCATTCTGCCTCGCTGGCTCCCCACAGGCACAGGGCCTGTTTTGCCACCCCACCATGTTCCACACACTCCTCTCTGTTCACTGCTTGCTCATTTACCTCAGGAGGTTGGGCAGGAAATGGCCCTCTGTTGCTGGGCCACGTGGCACAATCCAGAAGAAGACATTTTGCCAGTTTTTCTTTCCTCACAATACTTTCTCTGGGGGAGCAAAGGATAGCGAGAAGAGCAAATCCGGAAGGTTCCCTATAGGGGCAGGAAGCAGAGTGTGGGATGTGTCAGAGTTTGGGGGAGGTCTTGGGAAGGCCCTTGTGGGTGGGCCTGTGCCTGGACTAGGTTTCCCACCATCTCCCCCACCCTGAGTCACCCTAGGCTCTCCTTTAATGACGTATGCATTCATTTAATGAAGGCATTGGGAGAGCAGAGAGGGGGAGAATTTTAGACCTTGACTTTCAACAGTAATGGGCAGAATCCATGACTGTCGTAAGTGGAGAACTATCTGTATACTTTTGTTGACTCGCCACTCTAGCTTCCACTCCTGAGGTTTCCTAGTGATCTCTCCAAGCAGGTTTTAACTTACTGAATAGATGATAGCAGTGAACGGTACCAAAATTCCAGAAAAAGGCCTTTTATGTTTTATATTCTAACATTTTGTGGATGTTTGAAATATTAGAATATAAAATATAAAAGGCCTTTTTCTGAATGTTTGGTACCGTTCACTGATGTCACCCACTTGGTAAGTTAAAACATCCCTGCTTTGGAGAGACCTCTAGCGTCCACAAAAGGGACGTAAAACAAGATAGTGAGCAAGTATGGCGGCCCAATTGGCAAAAGAAAGCTCAGGACTGCATTGGTGGGAAACATGCAGAAGAGGCCTTCATCCTGCAGTGGATAGAAAAGGCTAAAATGATGATTCCAACATTTTAAAAAGACAGTTCTGTGAAAAATGTGCAGAATCTCTTGTCTAATGATGTTTCAGAAAACCTCCCCCTCCCCTCCTGCCCTCAGGAGTCACAAGGAAAGTCAGTTTCAATGGGCTCCACAGGCATCTCCCTTGAGATGAAATGGTAGCACAATATGCAGACGGAGTGAGCTGCAATTATTTAAGAGACAGTGGCGTCGAACAAAGGAGATGATAAAATGAGTTCTGGTTTCGTATCAACCATAAACACAGAGTGGATTTGTTAGCAACACAGAGAGGATATAACCCTGCAATCAGTTTACGGAAACATTAAGACAAGTTTGGGTCAAAGGCTGACAAAGGCCATTAATGAGAACAAATAAGGGAAGCAGCTGGACAAGGCTCACATCTTCTAGGGTGACTTTAGAAGGCCTCAGGTCCAACAAAGATGCTCTTGCCCTTTTCCAGATCAAAGGTGGATCAGCTACATGAGATCGTGACCGGAAACCCCACAGTCATAAAGATGGTGGTGAGCTTCAACCGTGGTGCTCGTGGGCAGAATGCCTTGAGGCAGATTCTGGCCCCAGTGGTCAAGGAGATCATGGAGGACAAGTCCCTCAATATCAAAATGGATCCAGTGGACATCTACAAGTCGTGGGTCAACCAGATGGAATCCCAGACTGGAGAAGCCAGGTGTGGAGCTCCTCCTGTTGGGGAGTGCTGCTGTTCCCTGGGGAAGGAGAGCTTTATGGGGAAGGGGGCAGATTATTGTAGCGAAAAATACAAAGGCATGCATTTCTCTTTATTTTTACTAGACATTTTGGAGAAAATATGAAAACAGGAAAGGTGTAGAAACCTTTCTATGATAAAAGAGTAGGATACAAATAGATAAACAAGGAGTTTACAAATATCGTAGAAATTAGTATCCTAGTATATCAATAGTTGGTTGTACATAACTGAATTTATTATATTTTTAAAACTTGAAAGTCACTACTGAGCTCTAAGTAAAGAATAAACATCAGAAACCATAGTCCGCAAAGTATGAGTCACAGAACAATAAAATCTGTCCATGCTATTCTAATTTAAGAAGGCTAATGAAATCTAGCAGTGATTCCCAATTTGAAGTAATTTTATGTCATATTTATTTTAAGATAAAGTTACTCTAAAGATCATTGGGTACTCCTACCATTTTTCTATAGAAGAGAAAAGGTGTGTTGCAGTCAGCATGTACAAAACTGTTTTTTTCTGGGAATATATTTGGAAACTAAGCTTTTCTTTAAAAAAAGTTTTCTGAAGTCAATAAATTCTGACACATCTGATGTACTTCTCTGCCTGGAATCTAAGAGAAGTCTTGACATAGCTTGAGCAGCAAACACAGGGTGGGTGTGTGCTCAGAGCACCATCTGAACCCCAACTCTGCTGCCCTTTGCCGTTTCTGGAGGCAGGGAAGGGCAGTGCCCGCCAGAGGAAAGGCAGAACCAGCCTTTCAAATATGCTGGCCAATGACCCTTTCCAACCTTTTTTAACAGTAAACTGCCATATGACGTGACTCCTGAGCAAGCACTGAGTCACGAAGAAGTGAAGACACGCCTGGACGCCTCCATCAAGAACATGCGAACCGTAACAGACAAATTCTTGCTGGCTATCATCAGCTCTGTGGAGAAAATCCCGTGAGTTCCAGAAATTGCTCCTATTGGCAAAGTTTTCTGGGTTTCATCTCCTTAACACCAACACCCTCCCCCCATCTCTTCTGCAGTTACGGGATGCGTTTCATTGCCAAAGTCTTGAAGGATTCGCTGCATGAGAAGTTTCCGGATGCCAGCGAGGATGAGCTTCTGAAGGTGAGGAGCCAGATTAGTGGGGCAGGGCAGGTGTGTGTGTCACCTTGTTTTGACCATGGTGGTGGTGGGGCGTTCTGCAGCTTCTGCTTCTGCCTGCCTCCTCCTGCTGGGCTTCTCCTCTGAATAGGCTGTCGGCCAAAACTTAGGCCAGCTCTTCCTTCTTTTCTTAAAAGAGAGAGAGTGTCAGGTAAGAAGCTGTTAAAACAGCCAGCGGGTGGCCTGTTCCTCCTCAAATGCTCTCCGTTACAGGAAAGGGGCCGGCCTTGCAGGCCCAGAATTGGAGCAAGCCTAGGTGGGATTATGTGGCAGTTCATACCTGGCAGCTTCTCTTGAAAGATAGAAGATCCTGTGCCTCTTCCTATGAAAGACTGAATGCTGTTTTCTTCTCTTTTCTAGCTCTGTGCTTTCCCACACTGAGGCATCGAATCTAGGCTTTCTCTGCAGGTGAATTAACTTTTTTTGAGATTCTGACATGCAGGTCAGAAGGCGATCTCCCCATGGAGTAGCTTACTAGTGACCAGTCTGTTCCACCAGCAGCTGAGATGTAGTGTGGCAGACAGTGCTGGGCTGTGTGAGAGAGCCAAGGCGCCCCTTAGGAAGCAGCTTCATGGTTCTGATTCAGAAATGACTGGGCTTCCCTGGGGCCTTTCCCTCCTCCCCGCTCATCAGGCAGGCCTTTATTGTTGCCCTTGCTAGAGAAGGGCCTGGGCCCCTGGAAAGCAAGCAAAATGCTTCCTTCCTTTAGCTCAACTGTTCCTTGTCAGATCATCATTATCTAAAGTCCCGAAGGTGAGAAAAGAAAACTGCCCAGGGAAATTAGGCCTTTTGCTGTGGCTGCCTCTGTCTTGAAAAATAAAGGGGAAAAGCCACAACAAAGAGGACAGCTGCACTCCTGAATTAATCCTGGCACATTTTTGGATGTATTGGTTTAATAAGGATTAAAATTTCTACATGCCTCTCAAACCTTTCTAAGGAGCTTCTGTACCATTGCCTCACTTCTAGATAACCTTAGGAAAAACAGTGAAATATATCAGGAAGTATACATAGGTACATATGGCAACTTTCCCTAGTGTTATTCACTGAATATCCAAGGTATGAAGGCTAAAGAATATTTGAATGACTAGAATATTTGTAGCTCAGAGTTGAATTTTGCAGCCCTTGGTGCTCCCTGAACTGGGTTATTTTTCTGCAGATGTTTCATTACCAAACTAAGTACTATCATTAGGGCTAGCAAGGGGTTTGCTCTCGTGTTACATATTAGTGGCTTACCCTGTCAGTATTGCTGGAAATGGTCTTGGTGGTTCCTTGGGCTGTTGCTTACTGTTACCTTGTTTGTGTTGGTCATTCCTTGATTGGGGCATTATTTGCTTCTTGACTGTTAATCTTGACAGGGCAAGCCACCAGAATATAAACTCAAAGTAAACCCTGCTCCCTACAAGCACAGATGATGATACCTAGTTCGGTAATGAAAGGTCTGCAAGTAAACAATTCACAGAGTTCCAAGGACTCCGCAATATTTAGCTTATACTGCAACTGAGTAGAGCTTAGTTTCAGTTGCAGTGTGATCATGTTCCTGCTTTGCTTTCTCTGCAACTGAAAAAAAGATTTCCCAAGTTGTGTCTAAGGTAAAGGTTCCCCTCCCACATATTTGCTAGTCATTCCTGACTCTAGGGGGCGGTGCTCATCTCCGTTTCAAAGCCGAAGAGCCAGCGCTGTCGGAAGACGTCTCCGAGGTCATGTAGCCGGCATGACTAAACACTGAAGACGTACGGAACGCTGTTCCCTTCCCACCAAAGGTGGTTCCTATTTTTCTACTTGCATTTTTACATGCTTTCGAACTGCTAGGTTGGCAGAAGCTGGATCAAGTAACGGTAGCTCACTCCGTTACACGGCGCTAGGGATTTAAACCGCCGAACTGCCAACCTTTCTGATCGACAAGCTCAGCGTCTTAGCCACTGAGCCACGGCATCCCTTGAGTTGTGTCTAATTACCTTTGAAGGCACGCTTGACTCTCTGCCACAAGTGTTTGTAATTTTCCTTTTCTTCTAAGATCTGGTGTCTCCCTTGCCTATCTGTGCAATTAAGCAACCTAGTATGGGGAAGAGAAGTAGGAAAGGCTCTTCTGGAAATCCCCAGGGCTGCAGGGAATCTACCTGGCATCTTCTTTCTGTTTCCAGATTGTGGGCAACCTTCTGTACTATCGCTACATGAACCCGGCCATTGTGGCCCCGGATGCCTTTGACATCATTGATCTCTCAGCTGGAGGACAGTTGACCACAGACCAACGGCGGAACTTGGGTTCCATTGCAAAAATGTTGCAACACGCAGCCTCCAATAAGATGTTCATGGGAGACAATGCACACCTCGCCCTCATCAATGAATTTCTGTCTCAGTCCTATCAGAAATTCAGGTAGGGAATTCTAAGCAATGGGTGATTTGTACAGGGAAGTGGATTATGCTCAGGGATGCCCTAAGACTTGGAGCAGGATAATCTCCATTCTTTATCCATTTCCCCCAAGCTGCCTGTTCTCAGACACTAGAAATATCCCAAGCTGTTCTTGGTATGTGAAATGCAGCTTTAATTATCAGCAGGACCAAAAGAAAATCTATTTGGGAGATGTTATTAAATATTTTACAGCGCTTAATTTAAAAGAGAATAATGCACATGAACTGCTCCATTTTTTCACCATTTCCCAGAGTTTTGTAGATATTTTGTACAATTGTGGAATGTTCAATTTGACAGAACACATACTTTTTTCTTCCACCTTTATTAAATTTATGTCCCTTGTTTCATAAAATGTTATTCTCTGTAGTGTAGTAATATTAAACTGGTAACTTGGTTGCCTAGGAAGAAGATTCCAATAAGATTTTGAAATCAGTAATGCATGCATGCACACACAGTTGTCTGTTATTCTACAATTTCTAAGTGCCCAGCTCTTAGTCAAAGACACAAGAGCTTGATACAGTTGGAAAGAAACAAGAGGCCCCAACCAAGATCAGCCTGTGAAATCTAGAAACACTGCCAACATCACTCATGGCACTCACTGAAGGATGTGTGTAGAAATTGAGGCACCTGGTGGGAGCACGATGGGAGTTCAGTCTTGTGTGAAGTTCTTGGTTTTTGTTGTTGATACATTTAAGGTGGCCTGATTGTTGTTAGCTGCCCGGATTTATAAGTTGGCTGTCATATACTGCAAGTGACTTGCATTAATAAATGTGCATACAGTTCACATTCTGTATACATTTTAGTGTGCAGCAGCGCCGCCAGCCTCCTCTGGGTAAGACTAAATGTGCTAGACTACAAACTGCATTTGGGATTTGTTCTTGCAAAATAGATCTTTGGATCCTGGCCCTTGAGTCTGCTTGACAAATGAGAGGGCATTTTCAGAGCCAAATTTGATTCTGACTTGAAGGGGATTCTGGCTGGAATGACAACTTGTGTCTGCTTCCCCAGAAACCAGAGTGGAAAAGCTAAGTGAAGAGGGAATATATATTAATGCTATCTCCATGGATTAATTTAGGACTGTGGGACCAGAGGCCTCATTTGGAATCTCATGGTACAATAGTTCAGAGGCCACACGATAATTCAGAACTCATAAAAAGAAATGTCCCAGAAGCTCAAACACTTTTTGAAGATAAACCATTATAAAAACAAATTGAATTGTTGAAATATGAAATCTGAGCATAAATGATCGCTGGCAGTTACAACTCATGGTTGTTGTGAATGAGTTTTAGGTAATTTACAAGCATTTGCATAATTAAACCTACCTTGGAGCCTGCTTCAGTGCTTCTGAGGTCCCTGGTGTTAGTGGGCAAACAATATGCTCCATTCGGACCAGGCCAGCAAAGAGCAACTTGTTTGGATAGACGATCTTTGAAGACACAGATGAAAAAGCATCTCATCTTTTCTGGGCTCTTGGCTTTTCCGTATTTAAAGTGGAAGCTCAGCCAGAGTTTTCCATGACAAAAGAAAAAGTCAACTTGTCGTTAAAGGAAGTGTCCATTAAAAATTAGCTAAATAGATCTAAATCTAAAGAGATTTACAAGAAAATAAGAATAAGAAAAAATATTTTATCTAATTTATTTATCAACTTAGCAAGGCTATCCAACTTTGGGTGATGCTTTTTTAATTAATAGAGCAACATTGTGTCTTCAGTCCCTGACCCAGGGCCAAGAAAGGAAATATCTGGCTAGATTCTCTTTATAGATAAAAAAAACCCATGTGCACCGAGAAGCCATGATTCCAGTGGCAGCTCTCGGGCATAAAGATAATAAAATAGAATAGAATTAGAATTAGAATCTCTTCTAATGTCTCAACAGACAGAACAGGTCCTCCAAATAGACACGCCAGAAGCACTGCAAACGATACCAGATGTTGCCACTCTCTCAGCACAAGAGATAAAATCCGCCTTGCAAAGGCCTCTCTTGATCCATAATAATACAGTGCAGGGCTGACATTGAACTAACTTTGTTTTCTTTTAAAGGCGCTTTTTCCAGGCTGCTTGTGAGGTTCCAGAACTGCAAGAGAAGTTTAATGTTGATGAGTATTCTGACTTAGTGACACTCACAAAACCAGTGATTTATATTTCCATTGGAGAAATCATCAATACACACACCGTAAGTCTTGCATATTGATTTTAGTGCTGTGCGCCGATGTTTTCCCAAAACATTTGAAAAACTATATTAAAGGAGCTTTCTCTCTTCTACCCAAATCAGCTGCTCCTGGATCATCAGGATGCAATTGCCCCAGAGCACAATGATCCTATACACGAGCTTCTGGATGACCTGGGCGAAGTTTCTACCATTGAATCCCTGATTGGTGAGCTTTTCCAATTTCCCAGTTTGGCCGGGGCACCTGTGAATGGCTTATCTGCTTATCCCCAGCTGTTTCTGCCCTCCTAACATTAGCTAGCAGAGTGGGTGCACGTCAGCCCCCCTCCATTCAGCACTGCCATCTTGTGGGTTCTCAGAAGCGTGCTTTTTCTGTTGCGCCCCCACCTTCCAGAACAGCAGTAACCCCCCCGCCTCCAAATAAGGAACAGGGTTCACTTTCCTGGGATTCTAGAAAGCTTTGAAAACCTGGTTTTGGTCCCAGGCCTGGATTGATGTTTATTATTTCTTTAATTACCTTTGTTTTTTTCTCCACATTAAATTCTTTTTGTCTTGTCTGAGTGATTCAATATTTTTAGCTGCTTTTATGTTTTCCCTAGTTTTGTACACAGCCTAGAGACCACTGGAGTTGGGTAGACAATTCATTTAAATAAACAATAGCCTGCCACGTTTAGATAGTGTTTGGATAGTGGATGTGGCAGTTTGAGACAGCAGAAGAGAAGAGAAAGGATTGGAGAAAATAGCCAAATATAAAGATCTGCAGAAACACAACAACTATAGCAGACGAAAGAAAAGATACTACCAATAGCAATAGGAGCCTTAGATGCAATCCCAAACCATCTGGAGCACCACTTGAACACCGGCATTGACAAAATCACAAATCAATCAGTTGCAAAAGGCAGCTTTGCTTGGAACAGCTTGCATCCTACAACAATATCTTTAACACCAACATCTGTCTATGCCAGGTCCTTGGGACAGATCTGATGGGTGGATTAAAACAGTGGTCCCCAACCTTTTTATCGCCGCGGACCAGTCAGCCTGTGATAATTTTACCGTGGCCCGCTGAGCGTGCGCAGGGGTGGGGGGGTGGGGTGTAAAAAAACTCCCAGCCCGGAGTACCCCTTTAAGTAATCCATATTTCAGTAAACTGTTCTACCGTCAGGCTGTTG